GCTGGTGGCCTAAAGGCAGGAGCTGGGCAGGGACGCCTGGCCGGCTCAGTGGGTGCTTCCTGCCTTCGGCTCAGGGCGTGATCCCAGATTCCTGGGATCAAGTCCCACATTGGGCTCCTTGCATGGAACCTGCTTCTCCTCCCTCTACCTGTGTCTCAGCCTCTCTTTCTGTGGCTCTCGTGAATAAATAAAATCTTAAAAAAAAAAAAAAAAAAAAAAGGAGCTGGGCACAGGGGATGACAGGGAGCTGGGCAGGGTCTCACCTCTCCCCCAGGTAGTCCCCGATGGCGGTCTTGTTCAGGCCCTCGCCCTTGTACAGAAAGCGGGCGATTTCTTCAGGTGTGTTCTGCAGGAGTTCATTCTCCACCAAGAACTGGATCCCCTGGTGGGTGGGGACCAGGTCTCAGCCCCAACAGCCAGAAAGCCACGCCCCACTGCCTCCCCAAGGACCTCAGCATCCACCCCCAGCCTGGATAGAACTGGGTCAAGTCTTGTTTTGGGGCTTCACAGTGGTCCCTAAATACCATCCCTTCCACCTCAGAGCCTTCACACCTACTATTCCCTCTGCCTTTGCCTGGTTAGTCCAGCAGCAAGGGCAGAGTCCCACAAGGAACAGGAGCCCAGTGAGTTTGCTGAATGTGTGACAAACTACAACTGCTTTGGGCTTCAAGAATACCGTCAGACACTGTTAGTAGGCAGCAGCATGTCACCGGCTGTGAGGGCCAAGCCTCAGGGGCCTTCTTGGCTCGCCCTGGGCCAGGAGAGCTACACCTAACTCTGGAGTGTGGCAGCCATGTCTAAGGGCTCACCGAAGGCAAGGCAGGGCCAGCTCTTGTCCTGGGTCTCCAGCCCTGCCTAGTACACGGGCAAGCTCGAGGGAGGCCACAGAGAATGTGTGAAATGAATGACCTAGTAAACAAACATCTCTCTGCACTGGGTGGACACTGACTCGTCCTTTAAACCGGACCTGAACATCCTCTCCTCGAGAAAGCCCTAACTTTATGAGGCTCCCCCATGAAGGTCCACAGCCCTGGTACCTCTGTGAAGTGGCACTGGTCAACCCTCCTTTGGGCATGTCATGGTCCATGTTTCCTACCACACTCGAGCTCCTCCTGAGACTCTAGGTGGCACCACAAGAGGGTCCAGAAATATGAACAGAAAGGAGAAGGGAGCCTCCCAGGCAGAGGACACAGGACACGCAAAGGTCAGGAGGCGGGGACACCTCCGTTAGTGTTCAGAAAACAAATGGATTGCCAATATCTGAATCCCGGAATGAGAACCACATGTGTCCACCTCAAGTAGATCTAGAACCTGAAAGTGCCAGAAGCCCCTGTCTGGATGTCTGCCTGGCTGATCCCAGCCCTGTGACCCAAGCACCTTCTTGGGATCCATGTTGAACTTCTTCCTGCCCATTGCCATCTTCCGGTTCCGTTGCAAGGTCTTACTGCAGGAGAGAGCAAGGGATGGAGGCTCAATGCCTGGGCGTCCCTGGCCGGGCCCCATGACCCCCAAGTTCCCCACCCCAGCCCTCACCTGCCCTCATTGGCCTCCAGACCCTCCACCTCGCTCATGGCTTCACTGAGCTCCTCCCGAAGGCGCTGGATCTCCACCAGCAGCTCCTGTTTCCGCCGCCGGATGTTCTCCAGCTCCATCCGCTCCTCCGGAGTCAGGTCTGGGGGCTCTGTGGGTCAGGGTCAGGGGTTGGAGGTCAGTTCTGGGGGCTGGGAACCTGGATTCCTGCAATCTGGGGGAGGACCGAGCTGGGGTGGGCAGGACTAGGTTGCAAGGGAGGATGAGGATTGGGCCTCCTCTGACTCCTAGAAGAAGGGGCTGGGAGTCTAGATTTCTCAGCCCAGACAAGGGCAGAGTTTCATCATCTGTAAAGCAGCACGTCCAGACAAGGAAGGGCTGCGGATCTAGACTCTTGAGTCCTGGGGGAGGAGGAGGCTAGGGGTCAGGACTCCTGAGTCTGAGGCAAAGGGGGCTGGGAGGCCGAACTTCCGGGTCCATTACTTGGAAGGGGAGTGAGGCCTTGGTTCTCTGCCTCCATTCCTGGCGAGGCAACTGGGAGCTTGGGTGTCCGGACTCCTGGGTCCATGAAAAGTAACTACGGCAGGGAAAGCTGGTGACAGCTCCTGAGAGTCGGGGAAGGGGGGCGGGGCATCGAAGGCTCCCGCCCCGCCTTCGCGGGATCCCCGCAGCCCCCAAGACTTCTCCCCAGCCAAGCGCCCCAGAAGCCCCCCTCCCGGCTCCCAGCAGGCACTGGGCTCGCCCGGCCCTTCCAGCGGGAATGGTTCCGCCCCGGCCGCGCCTCCGCCGCTCCATCCCGCCCCTCCCGCCGCCACCGGAAACAGACTCGGCCCACACAATGGCCTGGAACGCCCTGCTCTCGGGCCCCGCCGGAAGCCCGTTCCGCGCCCCACAAAAGCGAGGCTTCGACGGGGCCCCAAGGCGCCGCGCGGCGCGCGCCGGGAGGGACGTTCGCGGCCGAACGTTCCAGTCCAAACGCTCCATCCGCTCCCAGCCGGCCCCGCCCCTCCCTGACCTACCATAGACACCGTCCTCCATGGCGGCTAGGAAGGCCCGCGGGGAGTCCGGGGCGGTCCCGCCGGTCGGGCCTGGATCCGCGTTGGCCCGCGGGCTCGGGTGAGCCCGCTCAAACGCCCCGGGAGCCACCGCCGCCTCCTCAGCGCCAGTCCTCAGCGCTGAAAAGACTCTCCTTTCGCCTCCCAACCGCCCCGCCAATAGGGACCGCCCCTCGTTTTGACACCGTCCAATCCATGGAGAGCCCTCTCGTCTGCCCCGCCCCCGACCCCAAAGGATCGTCCTCCAGGACCAATAGGCGCACAGGGAACAGACGTAGCACCGTCCGGCCGGAGATAGACGGGCGGTAGGGCCAATCAGAGTGCGGCCAGGGAGTCGGGCCCCGCCCCCGAAACAAAAGAAGGTTTGTGACTGGTGTGCCTGCCAATGAGAAGACTCGGAGAGGAGTTGCATGGAGGCGGGACTGTGCGCGAGCCAGAGGACAGCGCCTGCGCAAGGGCTCTGGAAGGACGCTAGGCCAGTCGACCCCGCCTCTAGTGATAGGTTGCCGGGGAGCGGTACTTTGTTAGTCTCGTTGCCAGGGGGCGGTGCCACAACTGTCTGCTGTTTCCGGGAGCCACACCTCCGCGGCCCGCGCAGCAGGCTTTTGACCGCAGCGGTTGCCAGGCAACTGGGAGCCGCTTTGGCCTGTCTTTTGGCCTCCTTCCTCCCCTTACTGGCCTCTCTGATCTCCAGATCCTTTCTTTAACCCCTCTCAGGGCTTCCCCAGCCACTTCAGCCTCTTGCGAGCCGAGGGGTGGTGAAACAAAAGACATTCTTTCTACGCTATTGGGTATCTGTCATGCAGAGTGGGACATTTGGGGAAGGCTACGCCTTCCTGGCGCCTTCTGCCTCTCGAGTTCCTCCCTCTCTCCCTCATACTCCTCCCCTCACTTTAGCATCCTTCCCCTAAAACGGCTCCTCTTCCTCAACATCCTCCCACCTCTCCGGTTCCTTCCTCGCTCGCAAAGTCCTTTCCGTCCTCTCTGCCTCCCCTCCCTTCAGGTTCCCCCTCTTCTTAAACTCCTCCCTCCTCTCGGAGTCTCCCCACCTATGATACCCTTCTCTCCCCTCCCCCTCCGCCCCAGCCTCTCATTTCCATTCCTTGCAGAAAAACCAAGTGCAGGCAGCTGGCCAGGATGGAGCACCCGGGCATCACTGTCATGGGTGGGTCCCTAACTGGGTCTCAGGTAGTGACTGGGCCTTGTCCTCATTTGCTGTCCCTGGGCTAGGCAGGTGGGGACAGATTCAGGGCCAGGACCTGGTTAAGCTGACAGATTAGACACGGAGCCTCTTAATCTCCTCCCTGACCTTTATGAGTGGCCTGGGTCTTGTCCTCCCCTCGTGGAAAGCTAGGGTGTGCCAGCCTGGCCCCATTCTAATTCCTTCCAAGCAGAACCCCCCTCCTGTCCCTTCACCCCTAACTTAACATCCTTCCCCATGCCGGTGTTTCCATTACCCCCACCCCTGTCCCTACCTCAGACACCTGCACTGGGAGAACAGCTAGCTAATTAATCCCATCCGGTTATTAAGTGGGGGATTTTGAAGGATAAAGGGAGGTGGGGAAGCCACAAGCGGGGACCTGGGTTGATGCAGCACTGGGGCAAGCTAATGAGCAATGACAGTGCCTGCCCGCTGTCCTGGGACACGAATGGCAATGTATCCTCCTCCCTGGCACTGGCTCCTTCTGCAGTTGGCTCCCAGCCTGCTGGGCACTTAGTTGGATAACAGTATGGTGGAGGTTGGGGGACAGGCATGAGGAACCAAGCCCCAGAAGCACACTCACCGACACACCACCAGGACTCCCAATGATTTAATCTGGGGCACAGTTCTCCCCCTGAACACATACTTCCTCCTGGCATTCAGAGCTCCCTTTTCCTTTTCCTGTCCCCTAAACTGGAATGGGGCAGGGGGTGGGGGGAGGTTCTGGCCCTTAGCCACCGCCCCCGCTACCCCTTGCCTGCCCTGTCGTTCACACATCCAAGTTCAGAGCTGGCCTCCAAGAGCATCTCCTATCCCAGTTGCCCCTGGAAGGTCATGCATTTCAGGACCAGGGGGAGCTGGGCCAACTATAGCACCTTCACTCCCACCACGAGCCATCCCTTTCAATGAAGTGAGGAATCATCCTGGTGGAAAAGTCCTCGGAGAACTTCAAGTTCCAGTGCCCCATTTTTACAGATGGGGAGATTGAGGCAAGAAGGAGGGGAGTGGTCTGCCCAGATTCAAGCAGTAAGTTGGGGCAGAGTTGGGATTTAGATCAAAGCTTTCTGGATCCTCATAAAGGACTCCATTCTAATCAACTCAAGCTCAGTTTCTAACCCTTTTGTACAAAACATGGCAAAGTATAGATAGATATCTGTATTTATATTATATATATATAATACACATATGTATAACATCTTTAAGAAATAGACACTCATCACTAGGTATAGGTTTCCAGAGCACTGTAGACTCATCAACCTTTGGCCTCTCCCTCTCTTGCCTGACAACCAGCCCTGTATCCACAGGGTCTTGCATGGGCCCTCCCTTTCTAGATCAGCCCAGAAATGCTGCCAATCAAGTCCTGAGTCCACCTCCCAGAACTACCGAGTCCTAGGAGCTGATTCAACTTTCCAGGTTTTAATAATAGACAACTCTGGATCCCTGGAGCCTCGATTCCTTTTGGCATTACAGAACCACAAAGAATCATCGAGGTTCTCAGCTCCACTGGGCAAACTGGAACCAGTAAATCTCAAACATCTAGCATTGCCACTCCTTCCTTGACTCTGTGATCAATCTAGAGCCACAGAATCCTGATTCCTTTGGACATTCTAGAATGGCACTTAAAAAAAAAAAAAAACAAACCCGTGGATTATAAAGAAGCATTGACGATCTCTTTGGTTTGATGTTCTTTCTACAGCCGGTGGTCAGGAGTTATCTAATATCAAGAACTCCCAAGCTGTCACTGTAGCCCTTCCAGAACCACAGACACTCTTTTTTGTGCATTCTAGAAAAATTATTGTTTACTTTCCTTTGTAGGTCGACATTCTAGCTCAAACCTGTTCTAGAACCATGAGTGCTTATCGCTGTGGTCAATCTAGATTCACAGAATCTTAACTCTTGGGCCTTCTGGAACCATAAGGTCTTTTCTTGACCTGCAGTCAACAATCTTTGTCATTGGTTAATAAAGACGATCTTGAATTCCTGGGGCATTCCATAACTCTCCCTCCTTACGTGGTCTAGAAAAAAAAAATAATTTGCTACTTGGTTAGCTGAGTCTAGAAGCAACAGTCCCTTGAATCTTAGGTCAATCCAGACCTACAAACGTAATGTCTGTTGCTGCCCCTGGAGGAAATGTACCACCGATTCCTGACCCTGCTCAACAACCCAACCCAGCCACACAGAGGAATCTAGAACCACCAGTCCTTGTCTCTTGGGTGGTCCAGAATCCTGGATTCCCCAGCTCTGGGGAGACTCAGGCATCAGGCTGATAAAGGGGTCTCGAGAGGGAGCATGGAACACAGAGGAATTAAGATCCAGCATGTCTGTGGTGGGTCCCCTATCCATGGCAGAATTTCACCAGCTAAGAGTTTACCCAGCAGGCCTGTTGGTCTTGGGTAACACCTGCCCCCATCCCAGGAGAGGGCCCTAACTCTCCATCTCTCTATCTCTGGGAAGGGGGTACAAAGAGGGAGACACCAGCTGGCATCATGGGGGCAGGGTCAGTGCCAGGGTTGGTGTGAGTACTTGGGGGCTGGCAATCCCATCTTCTGCCTCCACTCCCTCCCCCTCCTTGGCCTCCTCTTCCTCATCTTCTTCCTGGCAGCAGCTCAGTGCAAGTTCGTTCTCATAACAAAATGCAGCCAGAGAGCCGGGGAAACTAGACTTGGGGCTGTGGGAAGCCCGCTCTGCCTGTTCATCCAACTCCTTGGCGCTGCAGACTGGTGTCCCTGGGACCTCGTAAGTGCGGTGGAAGTGGCGATAGTCAACCTCGTACTGGGAGCCACGCTGGAAGAGGACTGGCTCAAAACGATGGCCCCAGAGCAGCTCCCCAGGGAGGTAGGAGGAGCGACACTGTGTGGTCATGGCCGTGGCCTCAACCATGCCCTCAAGAATGACCACCAGCTCAAAGTCAGCCCGGGCCAGCTCGGCACGTCCTAGTTCATACAGAGGACTGGCAGAGTCGATCTCATGCACGATGGTGATGGGAGACACAAGGAAGATTCGATCAGTGCCACCATCAAAGCCCACGTCCACATCCTGGTGATCCAGTGGTATATACTCACCCTCTGGGGTGACACGAGGCTGTGTCAAGAAGGGAGGGGCCAAAGATAGATTGGCAGGGAGCACGGAGAGGAATGGAGACAGAGGCAAGGAGAGAATGGAATGGAGATGTAGAGAAAGGGGAGAGCAGAAATAGGCAGGGGTCGTGGGGTGAGAACATGGACCCAGAGAGAGAGGGGAATGGAGGCCCAGAGAAGGGTGAGGACAGAGCCAGAGATCAAGAGAGAGAGACAGAGACTCAAAGGGTTCAGGGATAGAAATACAAGAGAGACAAAGAGAGGGGACAGAGGGGCACAATGATATCGGCATCGAGTCACAGAAATCAGCAAGGCAGAGACGAAGTTAAAGAGACAACAGAAGAGTAAAGTCCAAGCAGCAAGTGGAGAGGGAGGAAAAAGAAAAATGGTTTTCAACATATGGCCATTGAGGGATAAATCAAGATGACAACCCATTCAATACTCTCTATTCCACCCCAGCCTTGGGCTAGCCCCTGGGTTATCTATCCCCCACCGACCCAACTACAAGCCCCTCTGCCCCATTATGCATGTGTATGTGTGGGGGCAATTGGCACTTCCCTCCCACATCCCCTCATTGGCTCCATACCCAACCTCCCCAGCCCTGTCAGCGCCCTGCAGACTTCTGGGAGTATCTGAGGGTATCTCTCCTACTCCTGAATCCTAGTCTTGCAGCAAGAAGGAGCCCTCAGATGCTGCTGGGAGTTGTAGTTCCCACCACCATTCTCCCCACCTTCTCTTCAAAGTCCAACCTCACCCCAGGGTTCTTAAATGTCTTTACTTGGGCAAGGACAACTACTGCCCTAGGATTTGGGCAGTTTAACTATAATTTTAGAGAAACACTAAGGCGCCTTTTTCAGGGCACCAGAGGGAGCTCCTACCCCAGGGGCCAATGGGGGTGGTAGTTGTTTTATTTGTCTGTTTTGGTGATATGCTACAAATTTAAGGGTGTTTTCCAGCCCTGGAAGCCTCTGAGCAGGGGACTGATGGGGCCAACTGGGCCACTGAGATGGGGAATGAAGTCTCCCACAAAGGCTGCAAGACTCCTTACCCAGAGGCCACGGAGAATTGTGTTCCATGCCTCTGAAGGTGTGACTTGCACCCCCATCCTTGGCCCTACATCTCCCACAATCCCATAGGGGACTAGCCTCAAGTCACAGGCCATTCTTGGTACTACCATGTAGGCTGGTAATTATAAACCAGAGCCATGGTTTACACCACCCACAAAAATATATCATCTGCTCAGACCATCCCTTCTGGACACCTTCCCCGCCCACAGAGCCTTCTGGAAATTGTAGTTCAGAGCCTTTACAGGCCAGGTGTGGCCTTCTCGGGTCTAGCTAGCTCTCAACCCCACTGGGGGCCCATCCTCAAGCCACAGGAAGTTCTTTATGTCTCAACCCCCGTTTCAAGCCTAGGTCTCCAGTCAGCACAGGTCACAGACCTCCCTTTTGGGTCTCCAGCTCCTCTAACTGATCCGAGGAGCCTCAGGCCACATAGAGGGCGGAAGGGCTCCCCGGCGCGAGACCGCTGGGAATTGTAGTCCACGCGCCCTCCAGGCCCACCGCGCACCCTACCCTCGGGCCTACATCTCCCACAATGCCCCCGCGATGAGCCCCTCCCTTCCGCCCCTGGGCCCGCACCTGCAGCAGCTGGGCCCGCACGTGGGCCTCGACCAGGTGGCTGCGGCGGAGGTTGCCGACGCGCCACATGAGGCAGAGGCGGCGGTCGCGCAGCGCCACGACGGCGTTCTCGCTGAACACAAGCGTCTCGTTGCGCTTCTTGGGTTTGGCCATCTTGGCCATGACGGCGCCCACGACGAAGGCGTCGAGCACGCAGCCGGCGATGCACTGCAGCACCACGGCGGCCACGGCGGCCGGGCACTCCTCGGTGACGCTGCGCACGCCGTAGCCGATGGACGTCTGCGTCTCGAGCGCGAAGAGGAAGGCGGCCAGGAAGCTGGCCACGTGGGAAAAGCAGGGCGCGGGCGGCGGCGGGGCGGCCAGGTCGCCGTGCAGCGAGGCGATGAGCCAGAAGGCCAGGCCGAAGAGCAGCCAGGAGGCGAGGAAGGAGCAGGAGAAGAGCAGGCACATCCAGCGCCAGCGCACGTCCACGCACGTGGTGAACAGGTCGCTCAGGTAGCGCGCGCCCTGGCCGCCCAGGTTCACGAAGCGCACGTTGCAGTGCCCGTCCTTCTTGACGAAGCGCCCGCGGCGCCGCCCGGCCTGCGACGGCGCCCACCCGTTGCGGCACAGCCCCGGCCCGGCCTCCTCCTCGTCGCCGGCGCGGCCCTCCCCTGGCTCCAGGGCGCCGCTAAGGCGGCGCAGGGCCCTGGCCAGGCCCATTGGGCGGGGGCACCCCCTCCACTTGGCCTAGTGGGGGGCGGGCGCCCCAAACCTGCGGAGACGAGAAACGGGTGGCAATGTCAGGGATGCCAGAGACGGTGGGCTCCTCGGCCGGGCATGCACGCTGGGCCATGGTGGCCTCACCTGGCAAGCGGGTGGCATATTACCCACCCTAAAAGTCGGAAGAGTACAGCATCGAGGATGGTGATATCATAGGAGATGCTGGTGTAGCAACAACAGCGACAGAGTCATAGCCATGACCTTATGGCAAGGGCCACGGTAGTTAGAGCAGACGTCTCTACAGCGGCAGACCCTGCTGTGAGCACTTTACATGAATGTGAACATATTTGAACCTAACACCAATGTAGAGGTTATTATCTCCATTTTATAGATGAGAAAACAGAGGCACAAAACTTCTAACTTGCTCAAGGTCGGTGCTGAGTAAACTAAGATTTGGGCGTCAACAAGCCAGAATCGGCAAAGTGGTAACCCTTTGTCAGCACGGAATCCCTATGGAGAGATGAATTGGGGCTCTAGGCCATCCATGGCTCAAAGCAGGCTCACAAAGCACAAGCAACGCAAGGAAAAATGGTGGATGTACTGAAATTCATTAAAATTAAAAACTTTTGAGGGATGCCCCCCACTGGCTCAGTCAGTGGAGCATGGGACTCTTGATCTCAGGGATTTGAGTCTCAGCCCCACGTTGGGTGTAGTGATTGATTGCTTAAAAATAAAGTCTTTAAAAAGTAAAAAAAAAAACAAAAAAAAAACTGTGCTTCAAAGGACACTGTCAGGAAAGTGAAAAGACAACCCACCAATGGAAGAAAATAGATGCAAATCATATATGTAAGAAGTTTATAATATCTAAAGACCTCAATAAGGTAATAACAAAAAGACACCACAATTTAAAAATAGGGAAAGGAGAGGCTCCTGGGTGGCTCAGCCAGTTAAGCATCCAACTCTGTACAACTCTTGGTTTTGGCTTAGGTTGTGGTCTCAAGGGTCTTGAGATCAAGCCCTACATCAGGCTCTGCACTCAGCGTGGAGTCTGCTTAACACTCTCTGCCTCTCCCCTCTGTGCTGTTTCAAATAAATCTTTAAAAAAAAAAACAGGCAAAGAATCTGAAGAGACATTTCTCTAAGAAAAATATACAATGAGAGACACATAAAAAAATGTTCAACGTCATTAGCCATCAGGGAAATGCAAATAAAAACTACGAGACACTATTTTCCACCCACTTGGGAAGACAACAAGTGTTGGCAAGGATGTGGAGAAGTTGGCCCCCTTGAATGCTTCTGGCGGCATATAAAGTGGTGCAGCTGTTTTGCAAAACCATCTGGCAGTTTCTTAAATGGTTAAACATAATTACCCTATGACCCAGCAATTCCAAGTCTAGGTATCTACTCAGGATAAAACAAATGTCCAAACACTTGTACACAAATGCTCCTAATAGTATTGGTCGAGATTGCCAAAAGATGGAAACAACCCAAATAGCCATCAACTGATAAATAAATGTGGTATATCCACATGATGAAGTACTACTTAGTAATAAAAAAAATGAAGCACTAACATGTTACAACCTGGACAAACCCTGAAAACATCATGGTAAGTGAAGCCAGATGCAGAAGACCACATATTGGGGCATATTGAGCCACTGGGTGGCTCAGTTGATTAAGCATCTGACTCTTGGTTTTGGCTGAGGTTTGATCTCAGGGTCGTGAGATGGAGCCCCAAGTCAGGCTCTATGCTGAGCACAGTTTCTGCGTAAGACTTTCTTTTCCTCTGCTCCTCCATCTCCCTCAAATAAATCTTAAAAAAAAAAAAAAGACCACATATTGCCTACTTTCATTTATATTGAAATCTGCACATTGAGAAAGGAGACTAGTGGTACCCAGGGCTGGGGAGATGCAGGATGTGGGGAGTGATAGCCAGAGGACATGGGTTTTCCTGCTGGGGTGATGCAAATATTCTAAAATTGACTGTGGTGATGGTGGCACAACTCCATGAAAATACTAAAAAACACAGTGAATTATACACTTTAATGTGTCAGCTTTATTTTATCTGAATTATGTAGTTTTTTTTTTTTTTTTCAAATTTTAAGTAATCTTTACACCCAACATGGGGTTCGAATGCATGAGCTGGAGAGATAGAGTGCCATGCTCCACGACTGAGCCAGCCAGGTGCCCCTTTCCTAACATATTTCAATGAAGCTGTTTAAAAAAAGGCCCAAGCTCAGCCCTGACCCTCAGATCTTCGGCAAATCTAACCAGTTTCTTCAACGGTAAAAGGGGGGATTTGAGGTTAGGAAGTGTCTTCCAGTCATCTAGATCAAGGACTCAGTCCTGTCTTAGTTGCTGGCCAACTATGTGTTCTGGAACCACTGGCTTCATTTTCTGGAGCCTCATTTGTGGAAAGATCCTGGGATTTTGAATTGGGCAGTTCTAGGGTGAATCTGAGCCCTGTCACTTACTGACTTTAGGAGTGGTGGCAAGTCACCTCAGCTCCCTCATCTGGGAAGTGGAATCTCAGCGACTCAACAGGATGGGAGAGAGATGAGGGAGAGTGGGGCATGGATGGGGACCTCATCACCCCACATCCAGCAGCTGTGGAGGAGAGACTTCGAGGGCCCATCTGGACTAGGGGTTAGATATTCGGCTATCACGTCCATCGGTATTTACCAAGCACCTAATGTACTGTGTGCACCCTGCACCAGGCTCTGGGATCCTCACAGGCTTCTGGACAAGGCCAGAGGTGCTCAAACGGAGAGGGCTGTTGACTGATACCAGTTTCAACATCAGTGGGTCCAGCACACCTCCCTTGTCCCCCACCCTGGTCACTGAGCTCTGCACCTGCTGCCTATAACCACCTGGACATGCTGCATTCTGAGGACACAAAAGTTGTGGTTTAGGTCAGAGTGGACTGGGCCTGTGTTGAGCATCTGCGATATACCCCAATCTTGACTCTTTTCTTACCCTCAACAATCCTGGGAGTTGGGAACTCATTCTTCCAAAAAGGGGTTAACTGAGGCTACATACTGAAGGGGACAGCTTTGAATCCAGGCCCTGACCCCTGCATGTGTAGCCCCCTCTGTCAGTAAGTCTCCACTATGTGCTGGTCCCACCAGGGGCCAACAGGGTAGGGGAGGTGGGCCCCAGGCTGGGTCCTCCCACACCTGCTCACTCATGTCTAATCACAACCCTTAGATGCAAGGGGCTTTGTTTTCCACAGTAAACTTTGTCTCAGTCTCCTCAGCTGAACAGTAGAAGCCCTGAACTCCCCCCAGGGTCCTCAGGTGCCAAAGCCCAAGTGACAAACCACAGACCTCGGGGGGGGGGGGATTCATTTCCTGAGCACCTACCATGTCCTGGGCTTTGCCTGAGCTCAGGGGATGCCCAAAGCCCACCCACAGACTCCACAACACCCCACTGCTCACCTCACTTCGACTGTCCAGGACGCTGGGAAGATCACTGCCCCACTTCACAGGGTGGGGAATAGGCTCGGACACCTGGCCAGACCCACACAGTGCTGAGGGTAGGGTGCCAGGTCGGGTCCTGAGCCTTTCCAACGCAGGGCTCTGCGTCAGTCCCCACCTAGGCCCTGTGAGGCGGAAGTGACCTTGTCCATTTCACAAATTAGATGGGGGCTTTCACCTCCAGAGGGCCCTGTCTGTGTCCAATGGGGCCCAGCTCACAGAGGGTGGGTGGGACACGGGTTCAAGCACCCTCCTTCACCCCCCCTGCAGGAAGGCAGGACAGGAGGGAAAAGGATCCAGAGCCTGAAGCCCTCCCCCATCCTCCCCCTGACCTGCCAGAGCAGCTTAATGTTTCCATATAAAGGAGACACGGGGCTTAAGGTGTGTCAACTTGGTGTCAAAGTCACTGTCTAATCTGAGGCCAAGAAGCTCCACCCCCGGGCCCCCGCCTCCCTTCCCCCTCAAAAAGCACTTTCACACTCTTCTGGAGACCCTGGCTATCCACCCCCACCCCCAACAACAGGGCCTGAACAGCAGGTTGAGGGGCAGAGATTGACAGGGCAGGAGAGCAGGGGGGCGTCGGGACACAGTCTGAACAAAGACAGAGGCTTGGAGTGGACAGGAAGGGCGCTGAGGGAGGCAGAGGGACGACAGATCCCACAGGCAGGGAAGCAGAGAGAGGACAGATGCCCAGAGGGAGCAGGACAGAGACAAGGGGGTGGTCAGAGACACAGTGGGAGGGGACAGGAGAGACAGGCAGACTAGTAGCAGCTGGGATGGGGAGATGATGCATCAGGAAATGGGAAGACAGGGAGCCAGAGCTGGGGACAGAGACAGGGTGAGAGAGGCTCACGATGACAGGGATGAAGGGGCAGAAGGCAGATGGAGATGGGGTCAGAGATGGAGGCGCCTGACGGGGGTGGGGTGGGGGAGAGGTTGCTCTGGGGCTGGAATCGGTCACTGAAGGGGAAGCAGGACCTTCCTGGGGGACAGCAAAGACAGGGAATGTGGGGTGGAGGGGCCCTAGCAAGGAGGGTGTGGGGGGAGGTGGGATGGTCTCAGCCCAGGACCTCTGCATGGAGGCACGTACCTGGTGGGGCAGCCCACCCCCATGCCCTCCGCTGGGGGATCCTCTGCTAGGGCCACAGGGAGGCCCCCGTGGGTGCTGAGGGGCAGCAGTATGTCCTGGGCCCCAGGGGCCTTGTGCTGGGCGCCCGACCTGTGTCCACAGGCGGATCAGAGGCCTGGCTGAGGGGGGGCAGGGGGTGGGGCCAGCCCAGAGCCGCAGAGGGGGAGCCAGGGAGGATGGCCAGGCAGGGCAGCTGGGCCGCAGCCCAAGCAGGCTGGAGAGGAGACGCGGTGAAGAAACGGGAGGGGGGAGGGGGATAGGGAGACACGGGGAGATAGGGACAGAGGAGGGAACAGAAGGGGAGAAAGGGGACAGCGGCAGGACAGAAAAATGGGCTCCTCAGTTCCCTTTGAGATGACGACTTCAAAAGCCCAGGGACACAGGTGAGCCACCCCTCCAGAGACCTGGACTGGGCTCCATGTGAATAAAATTCAGGGTGGGGTGTACAAACAGCACCCAATGGGCAGGGAGACCCCATGAAGCAGGGATTCTCGGTGGCCTCTGGACAGCTGGGAACCTGGGTCCCACATCCTCCTCCCCTTTCTTCATAGGGAAGCAGCCAACAGGATGAGTCTCACATACATCAGGCCTCATTCTGGTCCTTTACTGCCTTGGGGGCCCTGGACCTCCTTCCCTGCACATCGCTTGCCTGGGATGCAGGAGGGAGGAAGACCCATACAGCCCCCTACCCCCACCCCTCGGAAGTCCTGGCCAAACCCTGTTGGCTGGAAGTGGGGACAAAACCAGATTCTGCTGGAAGAACCCACCCTTCAACCTTGGCTGGGCCCACTGTAAAGTGCTCTGAGTTCTCCGGGGCGGGGAGGCCAGTGGCCAAAACTGGGTCCTGTAAGCGAGAGGTCAAAGCCTGACAGCAATATCCACAGCAATGCTGGCCACACTGGCCCACCTGGGAAAGAGGCCAACAGGTCCTGGGACAGGTTGAGGGGGGAGGGGTATGGCCGGAGCCAAACCCAAATCTTTCCACCGGAGGGGGCACAGGAGTCAAACCAAGCCCTCTGGCTGGAAGGCTCCCTGAACCAAACCAGGTAGTTTTACAGTCATGGGTTGACCCAGATGCATGGGCAAGAGGGGTCAGGGGACCAAACTAAGTCCTTTCCAAGAACAGCACGTCAAACAGAATCCATCGCGGCAGCTCACTGGTCCAGTGAAGCCTGACTCTGGGAGGAGAGAGGCTCAGCAGGTCTGCAGGGCCGTCCCGGCCGTGGCGGCCGCCTCCTCAGACACTGATGGTGCGGAAGACTGTGAAGCCTGACAGGGCGGTGCTAACGAGGACCCCGGGACACTGTGGATGCCAGTGCAACTCCTTCAGGTCTGTCTCGCCCTGGTGCACGAACAGCAGCTGCTGGGGAAGGTCCGCCAGCCCAGGGTCGGTCTCCGTGTCGCCTGCCTCGGGGTCCCGTTCAACTGCCAGGTCCCACTGTGTGATCTGGTTGTCTGCCCCTGAAGCTGCGAAGACTCCGCTGTCCTGGGGGTGCCACTCGACAGAGGTGATGGGGGCCACGTGCTGCTTGAAGGTGGCCACCGGGGAGCCGGACTATGGGAAGAGGGGAGTCAGGGGCTCTGGACACCTCAGCCTGACTCCCAGGGAGCCCTCACCACTCTCCAGCCTTGGGGGTTCCACTGGGGCCCCACCCCTGGGACTTGCACAAGCCCAGGTTCTCTGAAAGGGGCAGAGGCCCAAGTACATCTGGTAATAGAGGCATAATATCCTAGGGGCTGTGGGAACTGGGGTTTCACCTGCCAAGCCCTTCCAGCTCCAGGTCACAAAGTCCCCACCACAGGTCCTCCCTGGACATGCCTCAGGTTCCCTTCCTATAAAGGGGGTGGTTCTCGGGGGCCCCCAGAGTGGCTCAGTCATTTAAGTGCAGACCCTTGGTTTCAGCTCATGATTTCAGGGTTGTGAGATCAAGCCCCACGTCAGGTTCTGTGCTCAGTGTGGAGTCTGTTTGAGATTCTCTCTCCCTCTCTGCCCTTCACCCCACTCATACTCACTCTCTCTCCAAATAAATCTTTTTTTTTTTAAAGATTTTATTTATTTAATCATTAGAGATACAGAGAGAGGCAGAGACACAGGCAGAGGGAGAAGCAGACTCCATGCAGGGAGCATGATGCAGGACTTGATCCCAGAACCCTGGGATCACCATCTGAGCCAAAGGCAGACGCTCAACCACTGAGTCACCCAGGCATCCCTAAATAAGTAAATCTTTAAAAAGGAGGGGAATAGTGGTTCTCAAACTGCTCTCTCCCTACTGATTCTATGAAGGCCTTAAAGAAAACAGAACCATAGCTCCCAGGGTCCAGAAAGAAAGAAAAAGCAGCACTTCTGCTAACTCAAAGGTGCAGTTGAGGACCGGAATCTCTCTAAACTGGAGAAGTAGTTCCAAAGTCCCAATGGCCAATCAACTTGGCCATGGAACCTGGCCCTACACCTGCCTTGGGGGCTGGAACCGGTTTCTAGAAGGTTCCTCAGAGCTGACGCTATAGAAATCCTTATACCTGAGGAGAGAGAAGATGCAATGTCTCATGTCCAGAGCCCCTCCTATCTCTATAGTCAGTTGTCACTGGGTGTGATGTCACATCTGTCCCTGTCCTTCCTGTACCTGTTTCCTCTCCTGCAATGAGCGATGTGGGCTCCGATTCTCAGCTGATTCCACAAAGCTCACTAACATAAAGTCTACAGCTCGCTGAGACTCCAGAAGCCCTGGGCCACGTGGCCAGCTGCTCTGCTCGCCAGCGGGTAGATGGGAATGGGGAGTCTCTGCTGGTACCTGGCCGCTCGTCTCCTGTCACCTCTCCAGCTGGGGGGGTGTGTGTGTCAAGCCACCCTCCACCAGGAACAGCCTTTTCCTGCTGAGCCCTGTTCCTCATCTGCACCCCAAAAGGGCTGGACCCCAACTCGACAGGCCCTCCCAGCTCCGGTGTAAACAAGCACCTAAAGAAGGGAAGCCTGCAAATCCCAGGGCCTGCTGGGAAAATACCTTGAACTGCCTCAGGTCCCAGATCTTGAGGGCTCCATCGTCCCCGCCGCTGAGCAGGAAGGGTTCCCGGCGGCTCCAGTTGATGACATTAACATCTCCATCATGGGCAGAGGTGGTGGTGAGCATGCAAGCCTTGCTGGGGGCAGCCCGGATGTCCCAGATGCGAATGGAAGCATCAGCCGAGCAGGAGGCGAACACCTAGACAAGGCAGGGCCTGGGTGACCTCGGCGTACCTGCCACCCCAGCCTGGACCCCAAGGACGACTAGCAATGGACTAGTGCCCCCTCACTATGCCTAGCTCCTATCCCATCCTCCTTCAAGGCCCAGGAGTCCAGACCACCAGCCCCCCTCACCGTGTCCTCAGTTGGGGACCACTGTAGGTCCTCCACAGAGCGTGTGTGGCCCATAAATGGCCGCTGGTCCACATGCCAGGAGCCACCATCCGTTGGCGTCCAGAGGTGGATGTTCTTCTGGCAGTCTCCGGTCAGCAGGCGCCCTGGAAACGGAGTCAGGAAAGTATCAGGGCCCAGCTGGCCACAGCTCCCTCTTCTCCAGCAGTTTTAGCCCCCACCTTCCCTACAGATCCTGTTCCCTCTCACACCCCCAGGACCAACTGTGCACCCCAGGGACTCACCAGACACCCGGGGGGACCAGTCAAGAGCAAAGCCCTCGCCCATGTGGCCAGCAAAGGTGAAGATGGGCTTGACACGGGCCTGCTCATCCCGGAGGAAAGTCGCCAAGGCCTGGGGATCATCCACCACCTGCAAGAGCCGCCGCAGGGCAAACACCTCCACCTGGCCCTTCTCTGACCATATACCAGCCACCGGCTCCTCGCCCAGCCAGGATACCTGCAGGGGAAGGGACAGGAGGCTCAGGGTGGTGACCACAGCTCCTCACAGTTCCAAGAAGCAGAACTACAGTCCCAGGGCTAGGACTCCAGCTCCCAGAAGCCTTGGTGGGGACAAAAATCACAGCCTGCAAGATCAGCTTGGTACCTGGGACAACTTCCCATTCTATGTAGAGGCATTCCACCAACCCTTGGAAGGGGTGGGAGGTGCTCAGACTACCAGTCCTTGTAACCCTCTAAATGTTGGTGAGTCACCGGCCATCATCCTTGGCTCTCTTTGCCCTGTACATCTGCTCACTAGAAGATCCCATTCAGCCTCAAGGTTTCCAGTGGTCCCTACTCTTGACCTCTCCTCAGCTCTAAGCTCCTACCACACTGACTGTTCAGATGGATCCAAAACCGAGCTCCTGATTGCCATCTGCAACCTCCTCCACCCTGGGGCTCCCCGCCTTGGGCCCCAGACTGGGGGACTCATTGATTTGTCTTTTCCTCTTTACACCCACCTGGTGCTAACTACGCTCAAAATGCACCACTTCCAACTCCCCCGACCTCTACTGTAGCCACTCCTGCTAGTCCTGTCCTCCTTTCCCTGCAATATGGCTCCCCCACAGGGCTGTCCTTCTGCCCTCACCTCTCTGCAGTCTATTCTAAATAGAGCAGTCAGAGGAATCTCTTCAAAACACAAGTCAGATCCTGGGGCGCCTGGGTGGCTCAGTTAAGCATTCGACTCTCCATCTCAGCTCAGGTCATGACCTCAGGGTCCTGAGTTCGAGATCCGAGTTGGGCTTTGCACTTGGTGTGAAGCCTGCTTAAGACTCTCTCTGTCAGGGATCCCTGAGTGGCTCAGCGGTTTAGTGCCGCCTTCATCTCCAGGATCGAGTCCTGCACCGGGCTCCCTGCATGGAGCCTGCTTCTCCCTCTGCCTGTGTCTCTGCCTCTCTCATAAATAAATAAATAAATAAAATCTTAAAAAAAATTCTCTCTTTCTCAAAAATAAACTCAAAAACCCCCCCAATGGTTCCCAATTTCTCCCCAAGTAAAAGCCAAGTCCTTACATCAGCCAACAAGCCCCATCCAACCCATCACCTCCTTTTTGCCCACCCCTCAATGCTGTCACTCTCCTGTCGTCCATTTGCACTGGTTTCCTTGCCTTCCCTTGAACTCCCTCCAACACACCAAGTTTGCCACAGAGCCCTGGTACTTTGTTCCCTCTGCCTATAAACCCTTTCGGGGATGCCTGGGTGGTTCAGTGGTTGAGCATCTGCCTTCAGCTCAGGGCGTGATCTAGGGTCCTGGGATCGAGTCCCCCTTCGGGCTCCCCTCAGGGAGCCTACTTCTCCCTCTGCCTCTGCCTCTGCCCCTCTCTCTGTGTCTCTTATGAATAAATAAATGAAATCTTTAAAAATAAACAAACCCTTTCTGGACAAGAGATCTTTGGCTCATTCCCTCACTTCCTGTGGGTGTCTGTTCGAATGGCAGCTTATCCCAAATACCTCCCTGACTGCACTATTTAAGATAGCCAATCCCCTCTAGGAACATCCCAATTCCCCCACCTTGCTTTGACTCTCCTCCACAGCACTCGGCACCTGTAGATGTGCTGCACATTTACTCAGCCTCCTCTTGTTCCCTTTTCCACTGGCATGCAAGTTTCGCAAAACCAGAGACCTTTTGCTCTGTCAAATCTCCGGTGCCTGACGTGGTAACACGCAAATGGGAACCCACAGCAAGGACTATGGGCCATGCGCCGCCCTAAGTGCTGTCCATACATCATCTGATCAAATCTACGCATCAGCCTGCTCAGAAGGTGCTGTAACTCAGCAGCACAAAAGTGACCCCACAGCCCAGGACAGTTCTTGGGCAGTGACAGAAAATACACATCTCTACGCTACAATGAGGTGCTGTCTCTAGGCACCTGAAATAACCATATGTTTTCCATTTTACCTTCCAGTCAGTTCCATCAGGCAAATTTTGCAATCAATGTTCCCCATTTTACTGAAGAGGAAAGAACCTGAAAAACAGCCCCATGTTGCTCCTAGCATAGGAACAATGAATTCGTATATACAATTACATGTCAGGAGCTTTTCTAAAAGCTAAAAAGCATGGATAAGGGGGTTGGCAGGGGAGGTCAGAGAATTTACAGTAGGCTCCTGGGACGGTATCTACCCGGACTCGGTTGATGCCGCCATAGTGGGGCACCATAGCCAGCTCCAGCTGAGGCTTCCGATCTTCTTCATCCTCTTCGTCTTCCTCCTCATCATCACTGCCCTCTGATGGCGGGGGCTTTATCCCATGCAGATTATGCATCCGAAGCATCATCAGTCTGCGGGAAAGCGTGGCGTGAGTGAGGCACTGGATGCCAGGATCCTTAGGACGGAGGGAGGAGAGAAGCTGGAAACCCCAACTTCTAGATCTTGGTGGGAGGGGAAGCTGGGGGCTCAGACTCTTGGTCCTAAATAAAACCTCGGGTCTCACTCACCTGTTGCTCTGCGCGCTCTCCGCCTGGGTCCCAGCACACAGGTAAAGCGTAAGAGGAAGCTCTGTCCGGTTGTCTCCCAGGTGATCCCGGATTATGTCGAAGCTAAGACACGGAGCTCCTGGGGACAGAAAAAGGGGTTGGGAAATTAGGATGGGCCAGAGATCTCAGTTCTCTCGCGTGTGATGCTTTCACCCTTCTGATGCCTCAGTGTTCTTCTCAGAGTGCCTCGTAAGTTAAATACTCAGGACCAGCCCCGCTCAGGACTCAAGATTCCGGTCCCCTCCTAACTCAGGACCCAGGAGTCCTGGTGCCCGGCCCTACCGGTCTGCGCTCGGTGGTACAGCACGTAGGCCTCCTCGTCCATGACCAGCTCCTCTCCTTCGCGCAGCGGCGGTCCGCGGCCAGGCAGGTAGACCTGGGAAGAGCCGCTGGACTCGGCTTCCATGGGTTCCCCGGTTTCACACGTGCGCGTTTTACCATTGGGCGCCGCCATCTTCGAACCCTCTCACCGCCGGCGCGAGGTACGGACGTCACTTCCGGGTTGCGGTTTCCTCCTTTAGACATCCGCCCGGCTGCACGGTTGCCTTGGAAACCTCCCAGCTCACCAATTAAGAGGGCGCCGGGGAGAGGGTGAAGGAGATCTAAGGTAACGGCGTCCCAGCCTAGCGACCGAGGCCTGCGGGTTCGGAGACTCTACACCCTTCGCGTGACTTTGCGGCGCTTTTCCGCAGAGCAGTGGCAAGGCCTCCTGGGAGTTGTAGTTCTGTACGAGGCCAGTTTTCTCCTGCTGGAGGAGTTCCGAGCCCCGACGCCATCTTCCACCTTTGACTCCCAGCGCTTCCTTTCCGCTACGTTATTCGTGTATACAAATAGGAGTTCTTACTGGCAAGGAGACTCGGTTTTTGCTCCCTGAGGACTCATAAAGCCCGTTTCCTTTCCCCTCCTTGTTATGATGGCTTTAATTCACTTCAAAATGCTTCAGTGTGGACAGGATGATATGTATGAGTTAGTCGGGTGAATTTGCCCTCTTGGGGCAGTCAGTTGCCTAACCAGGCGTTCACACTGCAGCTATGGTCAGCGAGCACTTAATCAGAAAGTCAGCCCTCTGGAGCATTCTATTAAGAGTGCTTTGTCTCTCTTTATCGCTCGTCAGCACCAGAGGTTTGGCTAATTGGCACAATGAAATGCTAGAAATAGATTCTCATTGGTGAGGTTAACGGCATGCAGGGTAGGTGCGTTGGCTGGACCGTCTCACACTCTCCCCTCGCTTGCATGAACAGGATATAAAGAGTCTAGCAAGCCGCGTTGCCTGCAGCCATGGGGATGGGACCCTAGACTTAATCCTAAAATGTTTTGATCCTGGATCTTTGTTGACATCACCGCTGCTGCTCCTCCTCCTCTCTGGGTCTCGGGTCCGCCCTCACCCCTTCTCTCTCCTCTTCTTAGGCTCTTTTCTGACAGCTTCCTTCTGGGTCTTTGTCTCCCACCTCCCTCCAGGGTCAGTGTTCTCAATATCATTTTCTTTCTCCCCTCTCTTCCTCTGTGGGACTTTTCTCAGGGTCTGTTTCCTCCAGAGAAGTTTGAGGGCGGCTCAGACAAACACGGAGCTCACACTTGGGACTGAGGAGGCATAAAAACGTGGTTTATTCCAAACACTGCAATGTGTAACGGGAGAGTGGGAGGGGAGGATGGTGGTGGGCGTGGATTCCCAGACCGTCCCCTCCACAGCCCAGCTCCAGACCCGGCTGGAGATCTAGGAAGAGGAGGCTTTGGGGGGAGGGGGTGGGTCAGAAATAAAGGCTGGATTTGGAGGGGCTGTGGTTGGTGGCACGTGGGGTGGGAGACGGAGGTATGACAGGGTGGGAACTTTGGCCAGGTGTAGGTTGGGATCCTCGCTAGGGCAGGGGGGAGGCGGGGCTTCCGTTGGGAGTGTCCTAGGTCAAAGATAAGGAAAAGCGGCCCGAAGGTGGAAAAGGAGGAGAGTGTGTCACGGTTGGACGTCGAGGGTCACAGTCTGGTCGAGGGTACAGTCTGGGATTCGGGTCACAGTTTGGGGGTCGGGGGTCACAGTCTGGGGTCGGATGACCATTTTTAGGGGTCGGAAGTCACAGTCTGGGGTCAGGGGTTTCTGTGTGGCGGGGCCAAGGTCTGGGGTCACAGTTTGGCGAACGCGTCTCACAGTTTTGAGTCCCAATGGATGAAAGGTTAAAAACGGGCTCCCCCGGAGGCGTGGCTGGGGCCGGGGAGCTGCACAGTGATGAGGGGGCCACGGCCCTGGGCGTGGGGGTGGGGCGCGGGCGTGGCGTGACCCCCCCCACCTCCCGCCCCATCTGGTGACGTTAAAAAGCCCTTGTCGGGTTTAAAAAAAAAAAAACTCTCCAGTGGGCTCCGAGACCCCCACCTTTCAGGCTGGGTGAGATTTGGGGGACCAAATCCCTTCCGGCTCGTGATGCCCCCAAAGCGAGGGGGCGCAGGACGCTGCTCCAGGCGGGGTCCGGCCAGGTCCTTTTTTTTCCTTCCCAACCCACGCGGGTCCTGTCCGTTGCGGGCGCCCCCTCGGGCCGTGGCCTGCGCTGACCGAGGGGGCGCGGGGGCCCCCGGGGCCGCGTCATACCTCGGACTCGAGGCTGGAGAAGTGCGCCGAGCCCCTGCGGGTACCCAGGTCCCCGCCCCGGTGTCTCCGGTGCGGCGCGGCGGGCAGCGGCGGCCCCCAGTGCGCGGCGTGCGGGCACCGGCGCGCGTGGCGGGAGGGCCCGGTGAGCCTGCGCGCGGGGGCGGCGCGGGGGCAGGAGCTGAGGTCCTCGAGCGAGCGCGAGGTGGGCGCCGGCGGCGGGAGGTCCCAGCCCCCCGCGGCGCGCCGGTGCCGGTGGTGGTGCGGGGCGGCGGCGGGCGCGCGGTGCGAGGCCCGCGGGCGGTGGGGGTGCGGCCGCGGACAGCCGCAGCGGGCGCGGCGCCGGGGCGGGGGTCCGGCGGCCCAGGGCGGGGGCGGGGGCGCCCACCAGCCGCCGTCCAGGCCGTCGTGCGAACAGCTGAGGTGGCGCGGCGGCGGCAGCAGCTCCAGGCTGGCGCAGTGGCGGCAGTGCCAGGCGGCGGGACCGCTGCGCGGGGGCAGGTAGTCCCAGCTGCCGGCGCGCCAGCCCCCAAGCTTGTCGACCGACCAGTAGCGGCCGGGCGGCGGCCCGAGGCGCTCGGCGTACGGGTAGGGGAAGTCGGCGAACCACCAGGGCTCCAGGCCGCCCAGCGACGCGCCGCCCAGGCTCTCCGAGTCCTCCGAGTCCGACGGCGACGGCTCGAGGTCCAGGTAGGGGCAGGGGGGCGGCGCGGCGCGGCACGGGGGCGGCGCAGCCTGGGCCCCTCCGCCCGCGCCCCCCCGCGCCCCCCGCGCCGGGCCCCAGCAGGGGCTGGCTCTCGGGGTCTGAGCGCGGCCACCGCGCGGGCGCCGGCGGGCTCTCGTCCTCGAAGGCCAGGCGGCAGAGCGGCGGCCCGACGGCGGAGGCCGCGGCGGCGGGGGGCGCGGGCGGCGACGGGAAGCCGGGGAAGGCGCCCGAGGGGGGCTCGGCCGGCTCCTTGTCGCGCACGATGGCGAAGTAGGAGGGCGGCGGCTTCTGCGGGGGCTGCGCGGCCGGCGGGGACAGCGGGCGCCCGGCCGCGCCCCGGGGCGCCGCGCGCGCCTCGCCCACGCCCACGCCCAGGCCCTGCGGCTCGATGGGGCCGTAGTAGCGGTGGAAGCCATCGGCCAGGCCCGCGGCCCCCGGCGGCCCTGCACCTTTGGCGCGGCGCCACCGGTCCACCGCGGCGCGCTCGCGGGGCACGAAAGGCGCCGGGCCGGGCGCGGGCCGTGCCGCCGGGTACGCGGGGCTGGGCAGCGGCTGCGGCGGCGGCGGGGGCTTGGCCGGCGGCGGGGCGGCCTCCGCGCTGCAGCAGCTGTACATGCCCTGTGGGGGCGGCGAGAGAAGCGGGGTCAGCGCGGCCTGCGGGGACCGCCAGCTTTACCCTCTCCGCCCCTCCTGCCTCTCCCGCACCTCGGCCCGGGGCTCTTCCACTTCCAGCATCCCTGCCTGCCTCCCCCCAGCTCTGCCCTTCTGCCTCCCTCTCTCCCCCCTACCCTGGAGAAGGCCAGCAGGAAGTCCATGCGGTGGGTGGGCCCCAGGCAGTGCCGCAGGCGCCAGTACACCAGGTGCTCCCAGGCGAAGACCAGCAGGGAGAGGCCCATGGCCACCAGGAGCATGTAGAAGACACCTGCCATGTTGTCGATGTCCAGCTTACTGCTCATCACCTCGATTTTGTCATTGTGGCAGATCCCGGAGAGCCACAGCCGCTCCAGCATCTCGATCTCATCTGGAGAAAGGCGGAGTGGGGAGGCACAGTGTCATAGGTCACTTTCCACAGGCACCATCTAAGGATTGTCTTCTCTGATATAGAAGTCTAGGCACCCAGCCCCCTCTTCCCTTGACCCTGGTGTCCTGATCCTCCTCCCTTCCTCTGCCCAGGACCCTGGGCTCTGGTCCCCCACACCCCACTCCCGAGGCATCCCTGTGTACAGCGCACCATCCCCCAGGAACTGCAGCAGCGCCAGGTCGATGGGCCGCTTCCAGCGGGAGCCCTTGTGCAGGGCGATGCCATAGCCCGTGGTGGCAAAGACCTTGCCTGAGCCGATGGTGACGAGCTTGCATCCCTCATCCTTGCGGGCCATGTAGTTGAGCACAGCCGCGTCATAGATGAAGGCGTCCAGCTTCCTGGGGGCAGGGGGCATGAAAGGCAGGGTCAGTCCCACCCAGATGCCCTCATGGCCCAGCCCGGAACCCCGGTCACCCCTAACCTCCAAGTGCTCCAAATCCTGACTAGTGGTGAACTCTTGAGCAAGTCACTGTACTGCTTCTTGGTGTCTCAGTCTCCATCTATAAAATGGGGATTACAGCAACACCTCCCTTCCCAGGTCATTGTAAAGGTAAGATGGCACTTGGTGCAAAGAAAGTGCTGAAAACATGGTAGCTATGACTGATCCGTTCAGTCTTCAGGGAAGCCCTCCCCAGAAGGTTCTGCAAACTCCTCCATGTTACAGGGGACAACTGAGGCTCAGAAAGGGAATGCGTACACATAGCAATAATGCTATCGATCACTTCTATTGTGAAATGCTGTTCCATCTACCGTAATAACTCATTCATCCTCTCCACATTCCTGCGAGCTGGAAACTTATCTCCATCATTCAGATGGGAAATGCAGGCCCAGACACGCATCTCACTTTGCTTCGGTTCTCCCACTAGGCCCTAATTTCTGAACTTTGATGGGAAGACAAGCAGGGAGATTGAATTAGTGCTCGCAGATGAATACATTGTGGCACATGCCACGTGTCACTTCCTTCACAACTGCTGCCACTGTACAGGTAGTTCTGTGATTATTTGATTAATCTCAGCCTCTCCAATTAGACTGCGAGCACCACTCAAGCAGGATCCAGCTAGGACACAGCACAGTTCCTAGCACAAAGAAGGTGGTTGTAAATATTTGGGGAATAAGTGAACAAGTGAATAAATTAATTCACGGTGGGGAACACTGTGTAACTCTTCTATGAAACAAGAAACATGCCTATGATCTGACATGAAGATGTCCAGGGTATATCCATGGGAGGAAAAAAAAAAAGG